ACTCTTTTACAATTTGGCCCTATTTCTCTTTTAACTGACTTTAGTTTTCCTGAAAATCCAATTGTACCATTATGTTTCTAAACTATGGTCATTCATTTTGCTTATCTTATTAGATGATACAGATTTTCAAGAAATTGTTTGAAAGGGTTCATGGGGAGAGAATTCTCCAAGACTTGTATATCTCAGAGTTGCATTGCCTTCACACATTAGGAGAATGTAGTCATAAACAATATTCTTGAAACATATTACTCTGTCATCAAACTCTTTTCTTTTGGTATTTTGTGAGTCAGGGAAAAAAAAAGTCTGAATCAAACTGGGTTTTATTGTTTTGTTGATAACTGATTTTTCCCACAGCCCTAATGTTCTAGGAACATTTTTTCTTTATCATTGTAATTAAAAAATTTTGCTAGGATATGTTCAATTGTGGGAGCTCTGGTAGCATAGTGGCTAAGACACTTGCCTGCTAACCAGACGGCTGGCGGTTCAAACCCACCAGCCACTCCTCAGAAGGAAGGTTGGGCAATCCTGCTTCCGTAGTGATACTGCCTCGGAAACCCAAGGAGGGGTCGCTATGAGTCGGGGCTGACTCGACGGCACATAACAACAACAACAACAATGTTCAATTGTGTGTTAGCCTAGAATAGGGTAAGGCCTTTCAAGATGATGCACAGTTCTTTCTTAAGTTCAGTAAGGATTTACCCTTTAAAGCTCTGATGGTTGCTTCTATTCCATTTGTTATAGATCTTCCATTGGGAAAAACCTATGTGTTACAGTTATGCTTTCTGCCCTCTACCTGTTGTCCTTGTTGTTAGGTGCCATTGAGTTGGTTATGACCTATAGTAATCCTATGCACAACAGAACAAAACACTGCCTGGTCCTGTGCCATCCTCAAAGTCGTTACTATGTTGGAGCCACTGTGCAGCCACTGCATCAATCTTTTCATTGTGGGTATTCCTCCTTTTCGCTGACCCTCTGCTTTACCAAGGATATTGTCTTTCTCCATGTACTGGTCCCACCTGGTAACATGTGCAAAATACATGAGACTTCATCACATTCTCACTTCTAACAAGCATTCCAGCTGTACTTCCTCCAAGACAGCTTTGCTCATTGTTCTAGCAGTCCCATGTACTTTCAATATTCTTCACCAACCCCACAGTTCAGATGCATCAAATCTGTGGTCTTCCTTATTCATTGTCCAGCTCTCACACGCATATGTTGCTGTTGTTGTTAGGTTCCATCAACTTGGCTCCGGCTCACAGCAACCCTATATACAACAAAAGGAGACACTGCCCACTCTTGCACCAGCCTCACAATCCTTGCTATACCTTAGCCCATCATTACACCCACTGTGTCAATCCATCTCCTTGAGGGCCTTCCCCTTTTTCACTGACCCTCTACTTTACCAAGTATGATAGCCTTCTCCAGGGAATGGTCCCTTCTGAGAATGTGACCAAAGTAGGTCAGACGAAGTCTGGCCATTCTTGCTTTAAAGGAGCATTCTGGCTGCACTTCTTCCAGGGCAGATTTGTTAGTTCTTCTGGCAGTCCATGGTACTTTCAGTATTCTTCACCATCACAACTCACAAGGATCAACTCTTCTTCAGTCTTCCTTATTCATTGTCCAGCTCTCACATGCATATGAGGCTATTGAAAATACCACAGCCTGGGTTAGGTATACCTTAGTCTTCAAAGAGACATCTTTGTTCTTCAGCACTTGAAAGAGGTCTTTTGCAGCAGATTTGCCCAGTGCAATACATTGTCTGATGTCTTGACTATGGCTTCCATTAGTGTTGATTGTGGAACCAAGTAATATGAAATCTTCAACAATTTCAATCATTTCTCCATCTATTGTGATGCTGCTTATTGGTACAGTTGTGAGGATTTTCACTTTCTTTATGTTGAGGTGTAATTCATACTGCAGACTGTAGTCCTTAATCTTCATCAGTAAGTGCTTCAAGTTATCCTTACTTTGAGCAAGAAAAGTTGTGTCATCTGCATATTGCAGGTTGTTAATGAGTCTTCCTCCAAACCTGATGCTGCATTTTTCTTCATATAGTTCACCTTCTCAGATTATTTGCCCAGCATGCAGATTGAATAAGTATGGTGAAAGGATACAACCCTGAAACATAACCTTCCTGATTTTAAACCATGCAGTATCCCCTTTTTCTGTTCAAATAACAGCCTCCTGGTCTATGTACAGGTTCCTTATGAGCACAATTAAGTGTTCTAGAATTCCTATTCTTCTCAATGTTATCTATAATTTCTTATAATCCACACAGTCAAATGCCTTTGCATAGTCAATAAAACATAAGTAAACATCTTTCTGGTATTCTTTCCTTTCAGCCAAGATCCATATGACATCAGCAACAATATCCCTCATTCCATATCCTCTTCTGAATCCAGCTTGAATTTCTGGAAATTCCCTGTCAATAAACTGCTCCAAGTATTTTTGAATTACCATCAACAAAATTTTATTTATGCCTTATATTAATGATATTATTTGATAAATTCCACATTCTGTTGAATTACTTTTCTTTGTAATGGTTACAAATACCATACATTTAACCTGCCAAACTATTCTCCAAAATTGTTGTGCCATTTTCCCCTCCCCTCAGCAGTATATAAGGGTTCACATGTTTTTATTCTATTTTCTGAAATTTTCTTCTGGATCCTGAAGTATATCATTTTCAAAGGTATAATTTTCCTCTTTTTCTTTCTGAAGCCACTTTCTCTTGTTTTACAATATTTTTATTAAGCTTCATGTGAGTTTCTCCTATTTTATTCTTGAATAAGACAAGATCTACCCAGACTTGTCACAGGCAAGGTGAGTGAACTACTGTTGGTCCTGCTTTCTGACCATATTATGAGGTTAAATAGTCTAAAATCTGTAGGTGAAGGGTAATTAGTATATAAAGGTCATGTCTAGGAAATAGTGGAGCATAGGATGATTAATGGTGTTGAGACTATGTGAAAGTGCAACAACATGTTCCAAGTAATAAGGTAATATGTGTGCTGTTGAGTTGATTATGACTCATCATGACCCTATATGACAGAATAAAACTATCTCATAGGGGCTCCTAGGCTATATTTTTATGGGAGCTGATCACCAGATCTTTTCTCCCATGAGCAGCTAGTGGGCTTGAAATGCTGACTTTTTGATTAGCAGCTGAGCTCTTAACCGTTGTACCAACAGGGGTCCTTAAACTAACACATCACATTTTATCAAACATTTGGTCAACGCAGAACCTCACTCTTTTTAAGCCAATCTTTATTGACTGGTGCTACATGCCAGGTACTGAGTTAACCACTTCACTTTTTAATTTTTTCCATTTAATTCTTACAGTAAGTTTATAAGATAGATATTTTTATAGCTGTTGTTGTTGGTATTGGTATTATTGTACAAATTAGGAAAATAAACTTTGGAAAACTTAAGTAACTTGCTTTAGGTTTTGCAGCTAATAAGTGACAGACACAGAATTCAGAGTTGGAGTTTTACCTACATTGAACTATATCCAGGGATTATCTCAATAATTCAAGGCTTAAATTAAAATTTGAAAAAATCTTAATACCTCTGACTCATGTAAAATTCAGAAGGACCTCTAATCTAGTATACATCTCTAAAAATACTAATAAATCATTATGCATTTTATTATGCATGTATATCGTATGTATTACTATGTTTCTTACCAATTAACTGCTTGGTATGAAAGATCTCCCTATGACAGACTAAGACTTGTGTTATGGCAGAAAGTGATGAAAAGCATCATTGGAAGCCTGCATGTGTCCTGATGCTCTTGAAATCAGGAAAACAAATGCATCATGAATGGAAAATGAGTCCTTGTGCCCTTGCACCTATTATTTACTGATTTATTTATTTGGGTTTTAATTTTTAGTTCAGTCATACACATTAATAAAAGAAGGTTCACAGTGGATGCCCAGACATTTGGGCCTGACTCACACTTTTGAAGTGAGCAGCACTCCACACACTTAAAAAAAAAAAAAACACTTAAAATATGCTGTGAAAAGAAGGAGACATCACTACTTCATCAGCCACCTAGAATGTCCTTCAGCCTAGTAAACATCCAGACGGCCTGTGGGAATTGAGGAGTCTCATTTTGATAAACACTGCTGAAAAGCAAAGCAAGCTCTCAACAGATTTCTTGGTGCTCTCAAAGCTGGCACAGATTGAATTTGTGCTCACTAGAGTAAGGTCACATAATCTTAATTTTCTTTGGAGGCAATGTTTGTGATTATGCAGTTCTTGAAAAATAAAAAAACATACTAATCTGAACCATTAAAACTTAGCCAGAAGGACAAAATAAATGGGGAGGAGGGGGGCAGGAATCAAGAGCTTTTAAAAAAGAAACTCCAAAACAAACAAAACCAAACCAGTTGCCATCGTGTCAATTCAGACTCATGGTGAGCCCATGTGTGTCAGAGTGGAACTGTGTTCCAAGGGGTTTTCAATGGCTGATTGTTTGGAAGTAGATCACTAGGCCTTTTTCTGAAGTGCCTCTGGGTGGATTCAAACCACCAACCTTTTAGTTAGGAGCCAAGTGCTGAATCATTTGCAATACTCCTTCAGGAGGTTATAAAGATCTCTGGTGGTACAGTGCCTATATGGCATTTGACTGCTAACCAGAAAGTTGGTGGTTCAAATCCACCAGCCACTCTGCAAAAGGAAGATGGGGCAATCTAACTCTATAAAGATTTATCTTCTCGGAAACCCAATGGGGGTCACTATGAGTTGGAATCGACTCAATGATTTGGTTTTTTTTTTTTGGTTTTTCAGGAGGTTGTGATCATCAAAACTCCTTTTGCATACATTTCCTAATTGCTTCCAACAGTCACCATTTTGTTACCTCAGGGTATTACTATGAATACCAAGGTGATTTTTTTTTTATTAACATAAAAAGAACTGTTACCCCAAAATTAGTCATGTTAGAAAGTTATGCATTTAATTGACCACTTTGCTATAGCTACAAATAGTGAACTACTAACCTGTCCCCAGTCCTATCTTCACTTCTTGTTTCAGGACCTCCAGCACATTTAGAAAGCCACTGCTTAGCCTAGAGAGAGAGGAGACAGTCAGAACTAGGAGACCTGTGTGATTCCAACAAAAGAGAAACACTAATATTAATGAGGATGGTATGACTGAAAGTTGTATTTCCCTTCATATCAGCTCTAATATGATACAAACACATTACTCAAATCATGGCACCCAAATCCTGGAGTTTAAAAAAAAAAGGGATCATAAATGTGCTTGGATACTTTGGCCACATCCTATTTTACCCTCTCAGGAAGGCACAAAGCAGCAAGAACCAGAAGGAAAAGCAAAGGATCACTTGTAAGGGAAAATAAATGGAGAAATTAAACCTCATAATTAGTCCTAAAGTTTTGTCAGTCTTCTAATATACTGTATATATATTTTTTTAACTAACCCATCCTTCTGTTTTAGTAAGTAGAAATTGTAAAGCATTGCCTTTTCTCTATGTCTCAAATAATGTGTTACTCTAAATGAGTTGTTGTTGTTGTTGTTGTTATGTGCCTTCGAGTCAGCCCCGACTCATAGCGACCCTTCCTTGGATTTCCGAGGCAGTATCACTACAGAAGTAGGATTGCCCAACCTTCCTTCCAAGGAGTGGCTGGTGGGTCTAAATGAGTAGCAACTTGCAAATGCAAAGAAAGCAGAGAGCACAATTGGAAAACGGGTACAAGCTGACAGTTCAAATGCTGCCTCTGAGGACAGCAGCGACCCAGAGAGACTGTTCCTAGGAAGAATTCTGCACCCTGAGTTTAATAGATGGGCTGCCTTTTAAAGAGATAAAGAAAACTTTATCTTTATAAGCCAAAGATGTGAAGATCAAAGTCTTCTGCTCAAAGATGCACATAAATGTAACTTCCAAAGCCCCAGTACACATGCAATAAAACTCTCAACGTTGTTGGAGAAAGAGTAGTGATGACCACCAAAAAGGGCAATATCCTTACAAAATTTAACTTCAACCTCAATTTGCAAAGCTGGATCACATTTTATTTTAGAAAATGTTCAACTCCTCCAAAGGATATTAAATCCTTCCAGTGCCTCGTCATTAGATCATAATTATGGTAACTAATCCATAGATAGACAAGATTCCCTGTCATATGGGGAATCTGAAACCTAAAAGTGTCCGGAGGCTTTCAAAATACTCCGGAAATAGCTGTCAAGACTCTTCCCAAACTGCCACTGACATATACCTTTTCCATTCACAAAGTCCCTAGGCTTTCAACTGCCAGAACCTCCAGCTCTTTGCCTAGGCTCTCCCTGGCTGCTAGAGACTGCTCTGTACTTGGTGATTGTTGTTGTTATGTGCCGTGGAGTCGGACCTGACTCACAACGACCCCTTATTGGGTTCCAGAGGTGGTATCACTATGGAAGTAGATTGCCCAACTTTCCTTCCCAGGAGTGGCTGGTGGGTTTGAACCACCAGCATTCTGGTTAGCAGTCCAGTGCCTTAGGCACGATGCTACCAGTACTTGGTGAGGAAGGTTGGGAATTCCAGGAAATTAGTATTCCCAACCCCAACCTAACAGCTCGCCAACAATGACTGATGAGTAGTGTTAGGGCATATCTACCTCAGCTCTCTTCCCCCTTGGGCAAGATAACTTTGAGGCTTGCTTTGTCAATCAGCTCACTGAGTTTTCCAGAAGGACTATAGTCCAGGGGCCTGCAGTAGTAACTTGCTTGAGGACTCACCCTTTACACATCCTTCCCTTCCCTGTCTCAACCCCCACAAGTGCTTCCTGAGTTCACCTCCTAAATAAACTACTTGTACATGAATCCTCAGCTCATAATCTGCTTCTGCAAGAATCCAAACCAAGAGAGGACACCAAGCAACCCTCAAAAAACCAAAAGTCTAGCAGAAGCTAATAAATGTGTTGAATGAATTAATGATTGATCCATTCCTTCCTGCCACTAAGGAGACAGAACTTTATTCTGAGTCCATCAACACCAAAAATTAAAGACATTTTCTCTAATCCTGGAGCATGGGTCTTTAACTTACTATCCATGGATTGCCATCACGGGGTCCATGAAACATCTGAAATTAGATGCAAATTTTTACATCTGTGGGCTTTTTCTGAAGAGACAGGCAATGACTTTCATCTGATTCACTTATGGATCTGTAGCCCTTCAAAAGCGTTAATACAGAGTTATCATTAAAGTTTTTGCATTCTGGGTATTACAGTAGGATGAGGTCCTCCCTTAGGCTTCCCTATGCGAGTTGGCATGTCATCAGATCCAGCAGATACCATGACATACATGGTAGGGTATTGGCTTCCAATATCACTGTGCTTCCGCCTGACACCAAGCACAGGCAGTAATGTGATGTCAGTACCCTTTCCCTGGAACACCTGGCTGGAATATGTATCCTTTCAGTCTTTAGCTGTAAATTCTGAAAGCTGTTGGTTTTGAACTCTTCTTGTTGTATTTCCTATAGCCCTGTTTTGTTTAAAATCTGAAATAATAGGAGACATAAACCCACTGTCATTGAGCTGATTCCAACTCATAGCAAACCTATAGGGCAAAGTAGAATTGCTTCATTGTGTTTCTAAGGATATAAATCTTTAAAGAAGCAGACTACCTCATACATCTCCCATGGAGTTGCTGCTGGGTTCAAACCACCGATGTTTTGGTTAGCAGCTGCCTGCTTTAACCATTATGCCACCAGAGCTCCTTAGGAGACATGGTGCTTTTCAAACACGGGGGTGGGGGTGGGGATGTCCTTTTGAGATGTTTTGTTTCACTCCTCCACCACCCAGGTAAGGATCAGTCTACTTAGTTTTCTGTTTCAACTGCATGTAACTCTAGAAGACAGATCCTGGAGGAATGGCCAAGAAAGCAAAGGTATTTGACTGCTGATTTGCAATCCAAGTTTTCAAGATGCACAGAACAATTACTGTTACTTACGATAAGTTAGAATTGGGACAGTGGGAGATTGAGGCTCCTCGTTCCCTGAATACGTCAAGTTCTTCTGCAGAAAGGTAGCAGCCATGCGCCATCACTGTCTGAAGAGAAGAGTGTCCAGTGTGGAGTTTACCACTTAAAACTGTGTGGGTTAGGACTCATTCCCATCAAGATATTACAGGTGCAGATGGAAACTGTGACTGGGTGTATCTTCTTTACAAGAACTTTTATGATTATTTATATGCATAAAATCACTGTCTACAAGTTACACCTCACAAAAGCCTTATCAAAACACTTTATTACAAAAGTCCCAGCAAATTTGTAGATTTTATTTATTTATTTAGAGCTACGATATATGTTGTTATCCAATGATTCTATTATCTCTACTTTAGAAAAGAGCAAATATCTACATATCTACAATGGTACGCTACTGTAGACTGTGTTTGTTTCTATACTAATACGAAATTTTTAAAAGGAAACCGCCTTCTCAGTATGTTGGAGGTGCCTCCCCCTCATTATTCTTAGTTATGGGCTCAAATGGTCTTGAAACATATAACCAAATAACCTTTAACTCACCTTTATGAAATATTTACATTTTCATAAAACTTATTATATGCAATATCTTGTTGTTGTTGTTGTTGTTGTTATATGCCATCGAGTCGGCCCCGACTCATAGCGACCCTTCCTTGGGTTTCTGAGGCGATATCACTACAGAAGTAGAATTGCCCAACCTTCCTTCCGAGGAGTGACCGGTGGGTTTGAACCGCCAGCCTTCTGGTTAGAGTTTAATTCAGAAGGTAAAAAGATTCAACAAAGCAGGAACTGAATACCCATGAAACGTCTTTTATTTTTTAGTCTTGGTAATGTTTGTGAATATTCCTGAATAAACTTTGATCTATCAAAATTTCTTTCTCTCAGTACAAGACTATGTCTAAATAGCTTTCTCCTTTGGGAAGCATGGTTCAGTGACCAGAGAATTATTATAATAATAAAATATTCACAACCTGTGTGCAACTAAAATTAACATGCAAATTGGAGGTTAATTTATTAATCATATGGAAATATATGTAAAGGAGGGTGAAAATCACAGTGTAGCATTTACGTGATTTATGCAAAGTATTAAGTTTTCAAATCAGTCATATTCAGATTTCCATTCACATAGTCAATGAAAAATAATTTGCTGCAGTAATAAAACTCTCCTCATAGTTTACATATTTCCTATAAGGCCAAGACAAAGGAGTCCATTGTTTAATAAGGCCTCTCCCTATTCATTTTAATTTTAATTACCTTAAACTATTTAATTACTGAACAAATACATAAAAAAACCAAACTCACTGCTGTTGAGCTGATTTGGCTCATAGCAACCCCTCCTTGGGTTTCCAAGGTGGTTATCTCTACGGAAGTAGATTGCCCAGTCTTCCTTCCAAGGAATGGCTGGTGGGTTTGAACCACCAGCCTTCTGGTTAGCAGTCAAATGCCTTAGGCACTACATCACGAGAGCTCCCGAAATAATACATGTTGTTGTTGTTGTTATGTGCTGTCAAGTCAGACACGACTCATAGCGACCCCTCCTTGGGTTTCTGAGGCAATATCACTACGGAAGTAGATTGCCCCATCTTCCTTCTGAGGAGTGGTTGAGGGGTTTGAACCACCAGCCTTCTGGTTAGCAGTCAAGTGCCTTAGGCACTAGGCTACCAGAGCTCCCGAAATAATGCATAGTCATTTAAAATAAGCAAAGCAATCTCAGAGTGTTTAAATATAAAAAAGTCACCCCTCCAACTTTGTCTCCCAGGAAGAGCCACATATAACCTAATTCAATGGGCATCTTCTAGAAAGTTTTTCTAAGCCAGTGTGCACATACGTGTATTGGCCAATAGTGTACACATACATTGACTAATAGTGTATAAACATTCTTTCTTATAAGCTTGTATACCTAATTCTTTCTGAATGTTAGACAGAATCCTAAATTATGTCGTTGGTGTTGTTAGATGCTGTGAAGTTGATTTCAACTCATGGCGACCCCATGTGTGTCAGAGTAGAACAGCTCCATAGGGTTTTCAAAGCTGTGACCTTTTGGAAGCAGATTGTAGGGCATAACTTCCCAGGAACCTCTGGGTGGGTTCAAATCCCTAAACTTGTGGTTTGTAGTTGAGTCCTCAACGATATGTACCACCAAGGAACTCCTATTCTAAACTATAGAGGTTCTATCATTTAGCCAATTCTCCACTGAACAACCATTTTTAACTTTCATATGTGGTTAATATCAATATAAGGAGCATTGGTGGTACAGGGGTTAAGCACTCAGCTGCTAACTGAAAGGACAGTGGTTCAAACCCACCAGCTGCTCTGTGGGAGCAAGATGTGGCAGTGTGCTTCTGTAAAGATTTACAGCCTTGAAAAACCTATGGGGTAGTTCTACTCTGTCCTATAGGATCACTATGAGTCTGAACTGACTATATGGCAACAGATTTGGGTTTTCCTGGTTTTAGTATCAATATACACACACTTTACTGGATGTTGTTGTTGTTGTTATGTGCCATTGAGTCGGATCTGACTTGTAGCAACCCCTCCTTATGTTTCCGAGGCAGTATTATTGCGGAAGTAGATCACCCAACCTTCCTTCCAAGGAACGGCTGATGGGTTTGAACCGCCAGCCTTCTGGCTAGCAGTCAAGTGCCTTATGCACCTGCTCGCTCAAAGGAATGAACATTTAAATTCCAATGGATACTATGTATATTGCACTGAAGTCATAATAAAATATTATTTTTTTTAAAAATTGTAATATTATTTTTTTTAAATTCTAATAGATATTACCAAAATAACCTTGAACCAAAACCCATCCCCTCCCTCAATGAAGCCTTTAGATTTCTTACTGAGTTGAAAATTCAAGCCCTCCCCCCAACTTTTTTTTTTTTTAAATAGATAAACCTTGAGTTTTATTTTAGTTTGGGAAACATGCACATATCACAGAAGTCTGAAGATTACTATCAGGATTTCAATATTTAACTAAGCCTACTTTATATAAATTATGCCGTGACACACAATTTACCTTATTTGTCAGAAGATTGTTTTTATCATACACATCTGTGTAGTTTTTATAACTGGAGTATAAGTTTTTCACAGCTTCAACTTCATCACGATTTTCACTTATGTGGCTCTATAAGAAAAAAAATTTATTTTCAATTTCTTTTTAAATAAAATACCATTTTAAATAAAATACCATTAGAAATCATAGTTCCTACCCCACAATGGTGTGAGTGGCTTCTACCTTAGATAGACAGACAGACAGATGGGTGATAGAATGTGTACATATATGAATAAGAAAACTATGGATGTCATAAATGTGCTGTGTATGTACGTTTGTGTCTCAAGAAAAATTCTTCCAAGAAAATCTTCTTAAATTCCAAAATACACCAAGAACAAATGAAAACAAATAATAAAAAAAAAGAACTAAGTGAAGAGGACTAAGAGCCTGGCTATTGGGGACAACCTGCCTCTTCTGGCATTGGCCATTTAATAAAGAGTTCATTGGCCACCAGAAGGAGAGATAGCATGGTTCGCTGATAAGAAAACTGGAATATGAGTAAGAAAACAGAGTTTTAGCCCAAGTGCTGACCCTAGTTATACATCTTAAGACAAGTGACTTATTTTCTCATCTCTCAAATAAAAGGGTTAGGCTAGATGAATGAGTTTCCAAATTCTTTTAGCTTTGGATATGTTGTTTACATGAAAATTCACAGAAATCCAGTAAGTAAAGGCATATAAACAAGCTGCTCCTCAGCGTGATGCTGGGTTGGAACTCTGAAACCCTGTCTCCACTCTGTCTCCTTTGCGGCTTCCAGATGAGCAATTAGAAAACAGTTTGAAAATGGCCAGACTAGACAATACCTGCAGTCTTGAAGGAAAGAAGAAAAAAAAAAAAAAAAACCACTGCCATCAAATTGGAATTTCTTTCAATCTATCCTTGGGAGACCTAGGTGGAGCTTTATGGACCCTTATCCTCACCACTATGCTATGAATCTTCTCCTTGGCCTGGCTCTTCTCTGCAGAAGTAGACTGTCTTCTTACCTTTCTTTCTCCCACAGAGCAGCTGGTGGGTTTGAACCACCAACCTTTTGGTTAGCAGCCAAATACTTTAACCACTGTGTCACCAGAGGTCCTTCTTGAAGAAAGTGCCCTTAAGAGTTCACATGCAAGTAAAACAAGCAAATAGTAGCTCTCACCCCCCATTGACCTTACAATTTTATACCATTAAAGAGGCATGAAGTGTTTTTCAGACACAAAATTTAAGTGTCTCAATTTTAGTACCCAAACACTAGCTTACAATAAAAATGATCTCAGGACAACCAGTCATATATTATGAGAAATAACTCACAAGCAAATGATCACTTCAAAGAATGATAAAGCTATTTCCTTGTTTCTACATGAAGTGGAGTATGCATAGCTAAATAAATAAAAGAAAAAATAAAAGCAGTATTTCAAAAAACAGAGTGTTCCTTGAGGAAATTCCAGACCATTGAAGGAATATATGGACATCAGAAGAGAAGAAAGAACAACTAGAATCATTAACATTACTATAACAAATTTGAGTAAACATACACACACACTCCTCCAGCAAGCATGTGCTTGATTTTGTTGTATGTGTTTTTATATTCCTATGTATTTTAATATTATTATCATGTTATTTTTTGAAGTGTAGAAACATTCTGTTTCCAAAGTAGAAAATTCATATAAGCTTTGAATTCCATCTACAGGAAAGAATTAGGCAGGATAGAATCAATAATTCATGTATCACATCACAGAAGTGGGGAAAGACGAGAACAGTGAATGGACTCTAAGAAGACACATTATCTTAAAAAAAAAACTACAAAATGGTGAAGAATCACTATGTTGCCTTTCCCCATTTGCCCTTTCTTATAAGATAGTCAAATAACTATTAAAAGAAGAAATTTTAGTACAGTATATAATTAAGCTTGGATGGGGGAAGGGGAGCTCCCAATTTTAACCCAGCTGTAAGCTTTAAAAAGTGTTTTATTCCTAAACTGCAACAACTTAATGACAAAGTAAGATACACTTTTTGTTCCTCATTTTAAATTAAGAAACTTGGAACAAAAGGGCTTTTAAGTACATTTTTTGGTAAGGTAGAAATTAGGTTATTTTTGCTTTTCAAATAATAGCTTTTTTTTTCCCCAAAAAATGAAAGTATAGAACATGGAGAGGAAATATAAAATAAAGTGGGAAAGAAATGTATTAAATGTATTGCTTAGTTACTTATGAAGTTGACCTTGTCTCTCTCAAAGGATAATCAAAGGAGACTGAGGATAAATGGGGCTTCAAGTTTCTTATTTGCAGAATTGAAGAATTGGATTAGGTGAAGCCAGTGAGGTCCCTTCCAGCCCTATAATGCTATGACTCTGGGAGACTTCAGTAGAGGTACTGGAGGTTAATGTGAAGATTTAGGGTACAGAGATGTCCTGTAAATCTGGATAGAGGTGCAAACAGAAGAAAAATACCCACCTGGATGTGCAAATCGTGGGTCTTGGCAATGTTGCCAAGTTCACACATCAAAGCCTCAGAGCAGGAAAGGGAAAAACGTGGCGTCACTATGGGCTTCACTCTCAAATACTAGAAATAATAAAAAACAATTGATAAGAAAACTATGGATACCATAGACCAGCACTGCACTAAAATGTGTGCCACACAAAAAGGTGATTTTGTGTCTTCATTTTTGGAGGCAGTTCCTCATTAGTAGAAGGGTTATATATATAGCCATGGCTGAGAAGAAAGCATATAACCAAATCCACTGCCGTGGAGTTGATTCTGATTCATGGTGACTCCATGTGTTTGAAGAGAGTGTATTCCTTAGCATCAAGTTCAATGAGAACTGTAATAAATTAAAGGCATTCCCTCTCCCACATCCACATCAAGGCTCAGAAAACACCTAGACTGGGTGGCCTTTATGAAAAGAACTGGGAGGCAGAAGGAGAAATTTTGAAACAGCATGTTGGGGAGACTAAAGGGGAGGTGGGGCCCATTTCTGTTTTCTGCATCTTAGGGAGCTGTGCCAGCCATAGCCTCCCTCAAATCATTCAGTTTTCAGATTGGGTCTGGAAACACATGAGGTCAGAGGTCAGGCCAAGGAGAAGACTCATAGCAGAGTGGTGAGGATAAGGATCCATAAAGCTCCACCTAGGTCTCCCAAGGATAGATTGAAAGAAATTCCAAGGTTTCCTATGGTTTCCAACCAGACCTCAAAAGATAGTAGGGAAGGATCTGACTTTCTAGTATAAGAGATCTCCCAGTGGAGCCATGAGCCAGCCTTCTGGGTGAGGAGGTAAAAATGACACTGTTTCCATAGGACCTCTAACTCCAGGATGCTGCAAAGGGGGTTGCCTAGCTAAGTGCCTGGAGACCACATGACTGCCACATATATAAAGACTGAGGCATCCATTGGCCAAAGCATAATAGCTGTACACTACCTGGGCTTCACACCAGGTAAAGAGGCTCAGATGCCCAGAGCCAATGTGGACATAATCACCAAGCAGTTCCACTACTTCCAGTTTTCCCTAACTTTCCCCCCCATGAAGTTTTCTTCCTGTCAGAAACTAGTCCTATGAAATTAGAAGGACCCAGTGGAAGGAGGGTATTGCAAATGGAAAAGATGCCCTACCTGAAAGGGAGACCCTAACCTGGGCAGTGACTGAGGTGTTCCCTTAGCTCAACTAAAAGCTTAGCAGCCTGGATCAAATTTACCCACCTGACTAAATCTAGTTCTCTCTCTGCATGTAGGCAAGGGGGATTGGAGCCAAGAAAAGTGCTAAGAATAAAGCAAACTTCATGTTTGAACATATTGAACCATGACTGCTTAATTGCTGTTCCGTTTTTTGACATTGAGTTTGCTCCGACTCATGGTGGCCTTATGTCCAACGACAAAATGTTGCCTGGTCCTGTGGCATCTTCCTGATTTGAGCCCATTGTTGTGGCCATTGTGTCAATACATCTCAGTAAGGGTTTCCTTCATTTTTGCTGACTCTCTACTTTGTTCTATTAAACCTACCCAAGTCAGTCTTGATTTCAAAACCATCTTTAAAACAAAACAGAAAGTGTTGGCTATGGAGCCACAGCAGCCTTCACTGGAAGGGAAAAACTGAGCAGAGCTGATGAGTCCTCATCAGCAATTGTGGAAACAATTGCTGGTTCAAGGCACAGACTTCTTCATGTATGGAGTAAGCCAAACACACAGACTGATCTCTAACAAACAAATAAGTAATACATCCCACAACTAATGCAAACAAACCAAATTCACTGCCACCAAGTCGATTCTAACTCATAGAAACCCCCACTGGGTTTCTGAGGCAGTAAATCTTTACAGAAGTAGAGTGCCCCATCTTCCTTCCACAGAGCAGCTGATGGATTTGAACCACCAATCTTCTGTTTAGCAGTCAAATGTTTTAGGCATTGTATCACCAGAGCTTCTTACAACTAATGTGAAAAGAATCCCAAAGTAAGCCGCTAACAAGTTTACTTACCTTCTTTTGAAGCATTTCTGACACAAATCTGAAATAAAGCAACAAATGCGAAGTTAGGAAATCTAAATATATTCAAATAAATTTTAAAAGGATGAAACATGATCCTTACATGTCCTGATTTCCATGTAAACATTTCTAATACTGCACATGTTTCACTACAACTCATTAAAAATTAACAAGAAGTGATTATGTCCTCATTTTCAGTCTGGGAGATGGGGTGCAAAATCATGGAGAAATGAAATTTTATCATCTAAAATCAGCTGGGCTGTTAACAGAGTATTCCCACAACACTCAGTTTTAGCTCTGTTCGGCAAATTTTGCAGTGTGTTATGTTCCAAGGTTCATCCATGTTGTAGCATGTATCAGAACTTTTTATGGATGAATAACATTCCATTATATGGATATACCATTTTTTATTATGTAATTTTATTATGATTCAAATAACAATTTGAATGGAAGCTCCCTTTGGTTTTTAAGTACATTTAAAAAAACAAACAAAGAAACAAATTCACTGCTGTCAAGTGGATTCCAACTCATAGCAACCCTTCCTTGGGTTTCCCAGGCGGTATCTCTACAAAAATAGATTGCCCAACTTTCCTTCAGAGGAGTGGCTGGTGGGTTTGAACCGCCAGCCTTCTGGTTAGCCATCAAATACCTTAGGCACTATGCCACCAGAGCTTCCCATTAAGTACATATAACCAAAAAACCAAACTCACTGCTGTTGAGTCATTTCTGACTCATAGCACCCCTCCTTGGGTTTCTAAGGCAGTATCTCTATGGAAGTAGATTGCCCAATCTTCCTTCTGAGAAGAGGGTGGTGTGTTTGAACCTCTAGCCTCTGGTTAGCAGTCAAATACCTTAGGCACTACACCACCAAGCTCCTATATATCAAAAAATTTTCAATTTCAACATTTTATATATATACAATTCAATGACATGACTTATGTTCATCATGTCATGCAACATCACCACTCTCCATTCCCCAAATTTTTCCAATTCTTAACAAAAGCTTAATGGATATACCACATTTTGTTTATCCATTGATGAATGTGAACATATGTTTTCATGTTTGTATTTTCATATGTTCATAGGTTTTGGTTTCATATGTTTCATATGAATATGGGCATATGTTTTCTTTTCTTTTGCACACCCCTTCTTTTCAGGATTCTAGCTGCATATTGCACTCTATTCTTTGAGGTGGAAGTAAGTTGAGAAGTAGGTTGTCTACCTCTCTGGTGAGGCCAGCTCTCTGCCCAGCAGCAGCAGGTGCAGAGAGCTTTGCCCCTCCACATCATCTCTTTCTCTAGCTGTGTGTGTCACCACAGGGCATCCTCAGACCTTCACAGCAGGTTGCATGGTGAGGCCCTGCTCCTCATGAGCACAGAGATGTGGAGCCAATGCAGAAAAAGAATTAACTCAGTGGCTTCCCTCCTGGATCTCTGCACTTCATCTTGGAGAGATTCCTTCCAGGTCACGTCTTTGAAGAGGAGCTAATCTACCTCTCTGTGTTAGCACGGTATGGTCATTCCAGCATATATATAGTAGAGCCTCTCTTTTCTCATAGTAGGACAAAATAATAGTGAAAGGATGCAGATGACTCCTTAGAAAAATACTGAAAAGACAAAGAGTAAAATCCCAGCACTGACAACTTTAAGTGTTTGGATTATGGAAGCCTTTTTTCTTCTTTGTACCTTTTTGTGCTTCTCCAAGTTTTGTCCAGGGCAAGCACATATTATTTTTATGATTAAAAAAAAAATCATTATTTTCAACAAAAGGTCTTTAAGCAATCTTGAAAGGTAATTAATGTTTCTTAGCTCCTTAACTAATATTTTATTCCACGAATGATTCCTCATTTTCTCATCATTTTTGATTGCCATCAGAGCACATGCTTGCTTGCTTGCACACACTTTCTGTCTCACAATCTTTCTATGTAATTACATTGAACACAAGGTGGGATCTACCTTATGGCAGAAAGAATATTGAATTTAGAGTCAGTGGCACAGTTTTCAATACTAGTTCTGCTACATAGAAGCTAAGACTTTGGGCAAGTCCTTAGTTTATATTAGACTCAGCTTCATCATGAAAAACAGATGGCTTCATGGAGAATTTTGTGAAGATTAAAAGTAACCCTGTAGGGGAAAGCTCTTTGTAAATTGTGAATGATGACCAACTGTTGAGCATATTCACTTAGACTGGCTCTCCCATTACACTAAATGGAACATTCTGAATCACTATCTGCACATCTCACCTGCATCATTCTTATACCTGGTTTCCCCTCTCCATCTCTAACTCCGTCCCTGCAGCAGAGGGACCTGCCCACAAAACAAATCGAGACAAGTTACCTCTCAGTTTCCTTGATTGATTCCTCAGTGGTTTCTTTGTATTCTGGAACAGTGTTGTTCAAATCCATACACACTTTGCCCACAAATGCTCGCTGTCCAAATTTATCTGTGAAGCACACACAAAAAGCATCTGAAATCATGTTTCTTTACCCATAGTATCCTTTCTGAGCCTTTTAAGAACATGAGAAAATTTAAATCCTTATGAAAAATGTAAGCCAGATCTAAAAGATTACCCATTATTACATTTAAGAATAATAACAATCACCACCACAGCCCAACTAAATTTGCTGTTGTTGTTAGCTGCCATCAAGTCAACTCCAACTTATGGCAATGTTATGTACAACAGAGTGAAATGTTGACTGATCCTGTGTCAGCCTCATGATAGCCAGCAAATTCAAGTCCATTGTTGCAGCTACTATGCCAATCCATCTCACCAAGGATCTCCCTAACCCTCTCTGGCCCTCTACATCACCAAGCATGATGTCCTCCTCTAGTAACTGATTTTTCCTGATGACATATCCAAACCAAGCAAGTTGGACGATGTTCTGTTGTTTGCATTAGCTAATTTTCAGCAGTAAATTACCAGGCCTTTCTTTGTAGTCTGTCTTAGTCTGGAAGCTCCACTAAAACCCGCCCATAGGTGACCCTGCAGTACAATAAACTGACAGATAAGTGGTAGCCACTAGATTTAGTAAGTGCTAAAAATTCTTCTATCCATCACTCTAACCCATCCCCTCCCCTGTGCCCACTTCCAGGGTACCCAGATAAAAGCTGTGATTTTTACTGATTACTCAACTTTTCCTTTTACTTATACAGTTTGTCTATGTTTTTACTAAATCATATTGTTTGCTTTCAATTTATCTTCATGGTAAAGGGTAGACAGCCCCTGGTACTGAAAACACTCTATTATTCCTTGACATACCTACAATCTATTTCTTCTCTTTCTTCACTCTCTTTTTTTCCCCTTTCATAATCTCCCTCCTGCTTCCTACTCTGTCCTCCTCTCTTGGTGAGTCCCTTTCTACATTTTTCTATGACTTATTGATTTATTAAATCAATAAATCAAACAACAATAAATTTGATTTAATAAATCAATAAACTTGATTTATTGATTTAAAAAATTGGTATTGGGGGATGGACAGACTTAGAAGTGGCTCCAAACTCCTCCCATGACAGCAGGTATATCTGTGTACGGTCCAAACCTACATGTACCCACTTTCCTCTGCTATGTGCAGGGTTATGTTACCAATTGCTAGAAAAGGACATCATAGTTGGTAGGGGGCCCATGAAAACAAAAGAAGCCTTCAATGAGATGGACTGACAAACAGTCACACAGTGGTCTCAAACATACCAACCATCACCAAGATGGTTCCTTCTGACTTGGGAGAGGACTCAACAGCAACTAACAACAACAATGAGAAATATATACAATAATGTATATGAAGTGTCTGGTACACGGAATTCAGGAAAGGCACTGCCTCTGTTCTCAACTGTAGCAAAGCCATTGTTATTATCTGTGGGGAGTTTTCCTTAGTCCTGATAGCAGCTGTCAGTACTAAAGAACCTAGTCCTCACTAGAGGGGCTGAAGGATTCTTTTTCAGCTATGAAATTGAAGGCACATGGAGCAATGCTAATTTTCTTTACATTTTCTCCACTTCTGTCATATGAGTCTTTGAAAACTCTTCCTGTTCTCTCTGTCCTCTAACATTCCTTAAGACACCACTTTCATCCTGAAACTCACCTGACTCCAACCTTCATTGAGTCTTTGATGCACATTCAGTCTTCACAGTCTGAGCCATCCAATCTGCCCAACCTCATCTCCCAATCTACCACGAAATGAATCCCTTCTTTCAGTTAAACTAATCTGCTCCTGATTTTCTGGACCCACTGTCAGCATTCCTGTCTCCACTCCTTTGTCCTTGTCATTTCCCCTGTCCAGAAATAAATTTGTTCTCTCCCCATTTTTTTTTCCCTTCAAAGCCCAGTTTAAAGTTACCTGTCCTTTAAGTCATCCCAGATGTCTCAGCCCTGGGCTCACTCTTCCTCCTCTGAAAACAGCACTATATATTTTCCATGCTACACATCAGCCTTGTGACATAAACCACCATGGGCAGCAAGCAGTAGCATCAGTGAGTCAGCCAACATGTATTTACTGAGCACTTCCTATGTACCAGGCATTGTTCTTGTTGTTTGGTTGGAGCCAGCAAGTTGTTTTCAAGTAATGATTATCCCATGCAACAGAGCAAAACTGCTCCATAGGGCTTTCTTGGCTGTAATCTTTACAGAAGCAGATTGTCAGGCCTCTGTCCTGTGGAGCTGCTGGGTGTGTTCAAACTGCGAACCTCTCAGTTACCAGCTGAGTGCTTACCATTGCACCATCAGGGCTCTTTCCAGGTACTGTACTGGATACAAACGTTGAACTACCAGCCTGAACTCAGTTTCAGCTCTACTTCCTAGCTGTGTGATCTTGGGCATGCTACTTAATCTCTCTGTGCATCTGTTCATCCACCTGTACCATGAGAACCTTAATAACTCCCTCATAAGGCTGTTTGCAGAGGAGCTGAGATAATCCACGTAGAGTGCACTGCACAATGCCAGGAATCTAGTAACAGCATTATCCCGTTACAACAGTTATCAATCAATGTGTGTAAGTGTCCTGTCTGGCTCCTCAAGGGTAGAGACTATTTTCTGTGTCACTGTGTTCCCAGAATCTAGCAGAGTGTCCTGAGTCTAGCCAATAGCCAAGACATGCCTGTTGATTACAATATAAGAATGGCTACCACTAGAATTAGTAAATCTAAAAAAGCCCTAAATGAATGCTCAAAATTCAGACCCATATACATATGAGTCTGGAATCAAAAGCCATACGTAAATAATCAGATTACTTTAACAATAGGAAACATTCAAAGGTCACTATAATACAGGACACTGAATTACCACTGAGAAATGCAATGCTCAAATTCTAGCAAATGAAACGCAGTACTGCCCACAAGTATAACTGGTTGCCAGGTATAATCTGGCTGTCTGCCTGATGTGCCCGTAAATCATACTTTCATCTGCTCACCTGTAATTTCTGCAAGGAGCAAGGATGAGTCAGTGTGAATTGTTCCAAAGTAACAAGCCGTAGTTGTCCCATTCTTTAGAGTTCTCCTCTAAAAATAAATCACAAAAACCATGAATCACGTGTGCCCAGAAAAATCACATGGCATATAGGGAAGCTAAAATTCTGCTTTTCAATTTTAAAATATTTTTACTTAAAAATATGCCATCTTGACATGGAATATATTTAAGCTAAATGGCAAAAGTATTTATATTCCATAAGTATCAGCTGGAGGAGAAGTTGATAATTTTGATTTCTTAAATTCACACAATTCTGTTTCAGAATTCATCAAATGTGATAATTCCTTATTTCTTAGGATCAGTTAAATATAGCAAACTCTCCTGTAGCTGGAAGTGACACAACTGGATTTTCAGGTCCAGGCTTCTTGGGCCCCCATTGCTCACTGTCATTCAGAAAGAAATAGATCAGAAACAATACCACACTGTTTGCTGTGTTTCCCCATCTTGCCTCAGCCTTGATTCTTGAGGCCAAGCTTTATGAACTCAAAATAGATTTCCAATTTAAGATGAGTATGAGCATCAAAGTAGGTAACAACGGCCTTTTACAGATTAGATAACTTCCTGTGAGCTAAAACAGGAAAGAAAAAAAAAAATAAAGGTCTGATCCCCTTCTCTTCACCTTGGATCTTGAAGACTTGCTACCTCCTTTGAATTAGCATCAATGATGATCCCACAGCACATGCACATTCACTCGATTACCAAGGTGAATATTTACAATTAGTTTGTCTTGGAACAAGTATTCACCACGCCCTGTCCTGTCCTGCCCTTTTACTTTTCATTCATTCCAGTACAATTTGAATCTGTAATCTCTCATCTAGTTTAAAATGTTTAAAGGTAGATACTCTCAGGTTGAGTTGTTGAGATTTTTTTAACAAATAATCTCAAAAGCTGTCTGCTAATATGTACTTAAATAATTTGCTGATTAAATGATCACAGTCATCATCCATGGACAACACCCAGAATCTCGATTGCTCATTTGTTAAAGATGATCTAGGACTTTGTTCTGAGGTGGGGAGGGGGTGCAAAAAAAATCTTGGTTCTATTTTTGGATGCTTCATTAGCAGCCTTGGCATAAACACAGGAAGCCTTCAGTCCAGGGATAGGTTCTATTAACAACCTCAACGGTCCTACAGAGATATCAACTCTATCCTCAGCTCATGCCACTGTTAAATGTGTGGGCCTTTCTGTCATCAGAAACACAGAATATTTTCACTACAAATACATGTCAGGAGTAAAACTTGGCCATATTTACTGACATCAAATGCTTAAACAAATACTTAGCAAATCGCAGATGTAAGATTTATTATTTATGGAGCTCTGCCTAAAGGACATAGAGATACTCTAACTCTAAACATAAGATGCTGATAAATTTGGACTTTTATGTTTACTGAGCTATATTTTGACCATATAGCATCTACTCACATTACTGAGATCAATTTTCCTAAATTTCAATATGAAAAATAGATATACTTTACATTAAAATAATTTCTTTTTAATCACTTATGCAATATAAATTTTATCATTGATTTCTCTCTCTGGGTTAGCTGCTGAAAACTTAAAGTCAAATTTGTGACAAACTGTAATAAATACCTAGAACCCAAAGCCTACACTCTCCCCTCGGTTTTACCTTAGTTGTTCTCTTCTCATTTTTCCCATTGTTTTGATTTTATGACTAATTTTCTTTTGTTGTATATTAGGCAATTTTAAGCTATCTCAAGCCCTTTTCAGAACAATGTGAAGAATAAATAAATGTTGAGAATAAAAAGATTTGGTGTGGTTAACACACTTCCTTATTAACACAGTGCACTAGCAACTTAATACACAGCTTTAGTCCTTCTCAGTTTTCCTGGTGTCATGTGGATGCATGCTAAATATGTACGATCCACAACAGCACTGAATTTGTAATTAAGCAAAGCAAGTGCATAAATGTTAGTACTTGCTTTTATGCTTCAAGTTTTAAATGATGCAAGACCAGGGAAACTGGCAAAATGGAAGGTCATTGTGTAATACTTGTAATGTTGTCATCACTACATACCCAAAGCCTTAGGAGAACACCCATCAATGGATCCAACAAACACCTAAGGGCGTCCAGGCTAAGTGTGCTGAATGACAAGAGTCAGCGGTCAGATAAAAAGCTATTTTGCAGCCCTCACTTTTTGGTTGCAGAAGCTGTATTGAGTTGCTGAGTGGGTTGGAGTAGGTTGGGGTGGAAAGAAGGAAGATGATTTTCTTAATAGGGTAGAAGGCAGGACATTTTCAGAGCCTTCAAATACAGTTAGCAAGTATTACAGCCACTGTTCAATGACTAAACTAGCCCCATAGTCCCCTCTAGTGGTGTGAATGTCAAGTCACATTTCCACATGCCCTGCAATATGGGACCATTGTGTTTTCCATCCTTGGCATGTTGCCAAAATAGAGTGATGGCCTTCTAACAGTAATCTGACATTTTAATTTTAAATTTCCTTGAGTATCTAAAAAAAAAAAAAAAAAAAAAAAATAGAACCCTTGCCCTGTGCCAGGCACTATTCTCAGAATCTCAAAATTGTTGCTTATCATAACAATCCTATGAAGTAGGTACTATTATCTTTATTTCTACAATTGGGGAAAGTAAGTTATAGAACTTTCAAATGTCACACAGCTATTCCATATGATCCTCAGAATAGCACTGGGGATTGGCAGGAATAGTGAAATATGTATATGTATTAAATTAAAATTTGGTAAAGTAATACTAAAGAAAGAGCTCTGGTAGCTGCTAACCAGAAGGCTGGTGGTTCAAACCCACCAGCCACTCCTCGGAAGGAAGATGGAGCAATCTACTTCCATAATGATACTGCCTCGGAAACCCAAGGAGGGGTCGCTATGAGTTGGGTCCGACTTGACGGCACATAACAACAACAACAACAACAACAATACCAAAGAGGTAGGACCCATCAGACTAGGGATTTGAGAACCTGGATTCTGTCTTTGCCACTCACTAGTTATGTCCGTGAGGTGGTCATAAATTCATGGGCTGTGAAATGACTAAAAAGTCCCTGTGGTCCCTTTGGCTAATTTAACTGCCTATATTTTATCATTTAAATCTGCCCAGAGAAATGGATGTTTCTATAGATCATGGAACATAATACACCAATATTCACACACAAGATACTTACGACAACTCTGGTATATACTTCTTCAGCAAAGTCGATGCTCTGGAATTTGTGTTCTGTAGGAAATGTGTATTTGGTTAGCCACTCCAAAAGTGGCAGATCTACGTTACTTCCAGCAAATGAATACTGAGGAGCATGGATGTGTGTATCAACCAGCCCAGGCATGAAGAATTCACTGGAAATTAACATGAAAGGAAAATAATTTAATAACATCTTGAGTTATTTTTCCATATCTTTACATCACATTTTCTCTCAACAATGGTTTAATAGGTCACATCACACAGTTTATAGCTGAGGCATCAGACAACTGTGAATGTTTCTATTATTTTGTTGTTGTTAGCTGCTGTTGAGTCAGCCCCAACTCCCAGGAAACCTAGGAACCATAGAACAAAACACTTCTGGTGTTGTGCAATCCCCATCACTGGCTGTGGATCAGACAATATTCTACTGTGATCCATAGGATTTGCATTGGCTGGGTTTGGGAAGTAGATTGCATTAAAAATATGAGGATATGAAGCAAACAATAACAACCCGTCTTTATTTAAAATGTGAGTATTTTGTTCATCATGGACTTTATGCATTAATTTTGATGTTTTAAAATATTATTTTGTCTTGATTACTGAGTTTTTTACCCCCACCTCCCCTTAAATTTTGTGCTTACAGTAAATGCTTCACTTATCTCACCCTAATTCCATCCCTAAAAACCCTGCCTAAACCATAATCTGACCCCCTCCTGGCCCTTGTGGATGGCTTCTGGCCTAAGGCAGTCACCTGCCACACCCAAGGCTGGCAGTTCAAACCCACCAGCGCTCCCTGCCAGGTAGCTGGCCCGTCTCTTTGGGAGCTCTGATGGCGTAGTGCCTAAGGCATGTGACTGCTAACCAGAAGGCTGTCGGTTTAAACCCACCAGCCACTCCTCAGAAGGAAGGTTGGGCAATCTACTTCCGTAGTGATACTACTGCCTCAGAAACCCAAGGAGGGATCGTTATGAGTCAGATCCAACTTAATGGCAATTTTTTTTTTTTTTTCTGCCCTACACTGCCCACTGTTGTTGGTAGTTGTCATAGAGTTGATTCTGACTCCTGATGACCCCACATGTACAGAGAAGAAATCCATGGGCTTTTCAAGGCTGCGAACTTTTGGAAGAAAACCTCCAGCACTGTCCTCCAAGGCTTATCTTGGTGGATTCAAATTGCCAACCATTCTGTTAGTGGTCAAGTGCTTAACCATTTGTGCCACCCAGGAACTGCCTACAGTACTCCAGTTGTAATTTTTGCTTTTTAAAAATCCATATTATGTTAAGATATTGGGCCAAGACTATTAAAAATACTGTCAAAGATATCATCTTCTATGGTATATTAATCATGAGACATAAATTCAATTGCTCATATTTTGTGTGTTTGATATGAGAATTGCTTTGCATTTTAAATATGATCTTTCTTCAAAGACCTCAGTTTCCATCAAAGTTTAAATTCTTACCTTACCGCTTCTCTGTATTTAGTGCTTACAAGGCCCCTGGAATCTGCATTTTTGATGGATTTAAAAAGCAGCCTCATGAACAGGGGCACAAGGATAGGAAGACCCACAGATATGTTCATACACTCCACCTCCAAAACTGTCTTCTTATCCCTCTATCCCAAAGGCACACAAACAGGCCTTTCTATAAATGTCAATTTTTCCTCAACACATATTCTTACAGAAATCTAGGAAAAGGATGCAGAAGGCAACAGTAGAAGTTCCTACATTACATTCCCACGTCAATTGCCAGTAGTCTTCCAAGTCTAGACAGAGCAAGGAACAGGAAGGAGGTAAGAGATGTTAACTACAGCTCAAGTGTTTTTTTTTTAAAAAAACAACACTTTGTTTTCCTAGATTATAACCAGCCTCTCTGCTGCAAAGCTTTAGGGGTAACCCAATTCACAGACCCTCAGCACTAGAAGGGACCTTCACAATCACATCAGCCAATACTCTTGAATAAAAAGCTTGTAGAATAGACAAACTCAAAGAGGAAAGTGACCTGCTTTAGACCTAACAGCCACAAAGCTGTAGTGCAAGGATTTAAACCAGGTATTTGAATTCCAACTTCAATGTTCCTTTGACTACATTACTCTAAAGTTACTTCCTTAATTATGAAAGTGTTTCCTAAGTGAAAATGATACCAATTTTATTGACTTTGCAAACATACTTGTTCTAAAACAAGATAAAATATTTGCATTTAAAATATCTTATTTTTGTAAAATAGCTAAATGTGGCTATAAAGAAAGTGGATCAATCACAACAAAGACACTAAAAGTAATTAGAACATAAAAATCTCTGCTCAAACTCACCTCTGCAGACCCTGATCATGCTTTCAGAGTAATTGCTCTCCCAAATCTACTCCCTCTTCTCCAACAGTTTACCCATATTTTAGCCACCCTCATTTATTTCCTGTATAGAAAGCAGGACAGTCTATCCCTGTCATGCTTACAATCTGATTACTTGTTTACTATCCTCCATAGGCTATAAGTCTCATGAGGACAAGGACCTTGTTGATCTTTTCCACTTCTAGATCCTAGTACTTGCACATAGTAGGTGTGCTAAATGTTTGTTAAAGAAATAAATGAATAATGATAGTCTCCAGTTGCCTTTCTCTAAGTTTCTGTCCTTCATCTACCTATTCTCTATTTATTTACCTTCTCCTTCCCACCTCACCTTTTCAAAAACAAAAAGCCTCTCTCTCAAGCAGGTTACCTATAATCTGAGGTTAATTAATGGCACCCCGCAGAAGGAAAGAAGTTGGCCATGACTTACTGGTGGCTCAGTTCTCTTACTTCACATGGCTTGAAGCACCATTCTTTGGCCAGTTTTTCTTGTTGAGATGCTTCTTCTAAAAACACTATCTTTAAAAGAAAGAGAAAAAAAAATCACAAATTAATGAACCACAGCCATTTGTTGTCATTAAATATCTAAATCTTTTAAGAGACTACACAGTAGCAGAGCTATTCTCAAAAGTACTTGATAACAAATAGGATTGAGTTTAGAGATAAAAAGAAAAGTGTTTGCCTTTGGTCATCAGAAGGATGAACTGGTAAAATTCTCTTTTTCTATATAACAAAAGTAGTTTCCAACTTAGAATGTATTTGAGTTATAACAAACCACACTTATGGCCATCTGTTTTTCTGCTTTCTAACACATCTGATCATTAGTAAATGTACTACATACAATGTTAGAGCACATAGTTTGCTGATGCTATAAAGCCTATGACCCAGAACCTTCCACAAGTGGAGTTATTACCAACTGACAAAATGCCAATATTGTCCAACTTTTCTTCATCATCATAGCACATTGTAATGACTTGTATATTTTTTGTGTATGTATGCATTAAAATATAACTAGAAATTAGTTTATATGTAATGTTTCTAACTCCAAAAGATAAAGATCAGATTTATAAAGATGCTGATAAAAGATGATAACAAGAAAACTTAAAAAAAAAAAAAAAAGAGGTATTTGACTTATGTCAGAACCAATTTATAATGGAGTCATTGGAACCAAACCCTATCATAAGTTGGGGACTACTTGTACAAAAACAAATAAAGCTTCAAAATTTACAATTTGAAGATACAGGGTATTAACAATTGTGAATTAATATCTATTTCTCTCCCATCCCTGAAAAAAATTAATGGAAACAATTGTTTGTAGAAATAGACCTCACAGCAGAGTAAGTACAGATTTTTCTTAGGCTGTGCTGGAAAAATCCAAGTCCAGAGTGCAACTTACTAACACTAAATATAATTACCATTGTTTGTCTGTCTGTCTGTGATGCTGCAGTGGCTTACGTGTGCTGTGATGCTGGAAGCTATGCAACTGGTATTTCAAACACAAGCAGGGTTACCCATGGTGGACAGCTTCCAACAGAGCTTTTAGATTAATGGGAGCTATGGTGGCATAGTGCCTAAGGCACTTGACTGCTAACCAGAAGGCTGGTAGTTCAAGCCCACCAGCCATTCCTCTGAAGGAAGATGGGGCAGTCTACTTCCATAGTGATACTGCCTCAGAAACCCAAGGAGGGGTTGCTACGAGTCAGGTCTGACTTGATGGCACATAACAACAACATGGTGGCATAGTGCCTAAGGCATTTGACTGCTAACCAGAAGGCTGGCAGTTCAAACCCACCAGCCACTCCTCGGAAGGAAGGTTGGGCAATCTACTTCCCTAGTGATATTGCCTCGGACACCCAAGGAGGGGTCGCTATGAGTCACCTCCAACTCAACAGCAGTGAGTTTAGTCAAGTTTTGGTAATTTCACACTGAAATTCAACAAATGGATGCACACTGGAAAAGTTTACTCATTTATGCCAAGAAATTTGAAAGACAGCTACCCAGCCAACTGACTGGAAGAGATCAATATTCGTACCCATGCCAAAGAAAGGTGATCCAACAGTATATGGAAATTATCAAACAATATCATTAACATTACATGCAAGTAAAATTTTGCTGAAGATAAATTAAAAAACGGTTGCAGTAATACTGGACAGTGTTTTGTTCTGTGGTACATAGGGGCTATCGCACATGAGTTGGAGCCAACTCAACAGCACTTAACAATAACAATTTTACATTATTTCTTTGTACTAAGTCTTTGAACTTAGTACATTTTGCATTTAAAGTACATTCCAAATTGGTTGTGAAAATTTCATCAGAAATGTTTGATCTGCATTTACCTTCCATGAAATTTTTTAAAAATTAGATTCACATACCCAGGTTATTCCAAACATAAGTAAAGGTTTTCTAAAGCTGATATGAGTATAAATTTTTTTCTAATGTAACTGTAAATTTATGAGAAGCTCTGGTGGCGTAGTCAATAAGGAATCTGGTTGTTAACCAGGTCAGCAGTTCAAATCCACCAGCCACTCTGCAGAAGGAAGATGGGCAACCTACTTATGTAAAGATTTACAGCCTCAGAAACCCAATGGGGGTAGTTATGAGTAAGAGTCAACCCAATGGCAGTGAGTTTGGTTTTGGCTTGGTTTAACTGTAAATTTATTTAAAATAGAAAATTTAACTAGCTCCACTTCAGATGGTCAATATTCACATGTGACTGCCTGCAGTGCAGTAAATTACTTAGTGTGGCTTTTCTACCCATAAGTCTTTGTAAACTCCAAGGTGGGATTTTCTATGAGCAACTGAGGAGCTATCCACCTGGGTTATTTCTGTTGGGCGTGGCACAATACAATGTTTTGGGAGGTTCCCACTCTCTCTCATATGGTTAGAGTTCTGATGCTGTGATTGGCTAGTTTGACCACCCTGCCGAGCTCAAGTGGAGACCTCCTGGAGGCAGAACTCTCTCTCTGACTGCTGGTTGAGGAAGACGTGCTGCTGAAAGAGACACGCACCCCTGAAAGAGACACGTGCTGCTGGGAAAGAGACACAAGAGACACGCATTGCTGAGTGAGACACCGAGGGACCAGCACTGCTGGGAAAGAGACTGTGAGAGACTTTTGGCTGAGGGACGGTGGGCTGGGAGAGAGACTGGGCGTTCTTCCTGAACTTGAGTTGTAGCCTGGTGCTTCCCTAATAAATCCATAATCTCTGAGTTCTGTGTGGTCACTTCAGTGAATTATTGAACCCAGGAGAGAGGTGGTGGGTGCTTTGGGAGGAACGGTTGGTGAAAGGGCTGGAGGGAGGCAGCATGTCTGGCCTTGCAGTAATAGGCTTTGGGTTACTGCTGGTAATCCTGTCTTCCTCTTGTGAGATTAGAGGAGGTCAGAACATGTGGCCTCCCTGCCGTTTTTGCACTGCCATTTTGGACTGTTCAGGTCCAGAGAATTTCATAGTAAAGTCTTTTCAAACTTACCTAGACCAGATAATGTCTGTGTTATGTAAAAAGTTCCTGAGCACAGAGAAAGAATTAAAGCTTTTCCATTTCCACATATCTAGCATAATTTTCACACACACCATACACATCTGTTGTCATCAAGTCGATCCCAACTCACAGGGACCGTATAATCTTCACACAAAACCTGACAAAATGCACATATATGCATAAACACAAATAAGCAAAAAGAGAGAAAAAAATTACAGATCAATGCCACTTGTTATTTAGTATTACAGATGCAGAAAAATATCCCAAATGATATGCTGGTAATGAAAAGAAAAAAATATATTTTAAAAAGTATTTCAATATACCTGTAACATGTAAGACTTCATTACTCTGACCAAGTGGGACAAGTCTTCTATCAATTTAAGTATATGTTTAAGACTTAGGCAAGGATCCAACTTCTCAAGGATTGCTGGAAGAAATCCACCCACTTTCATTCTTATTTTCTTCAGTCAAAATGCAAACTGTAATTCACTTCCCCTGCGGGTACGCACCAGGGATCAAGGAGCTCTAGTGCTGTAGTGCCTAAGGCATTTGACTGCTAACCAGAGGGTTGGCGGTTCAAACCCACCAGCCACTCCTCTGAAGGATGACTGGGCAATCTATTTCCATAGAGATACCACCTCAGAAAACCAAGGAGGGTGCGCTATGAGTTGGAACCAACTCAACAGCAGTGAATTTGGAGTGAGTTTTTCTATGAACCTTGCCCATGACCAAGCCACTCACCTATCAAAACCTTTCATTGTGACCTCTGTTCCTGACCCTCCATAAGCAGCAAACTCCATTATGTCTTCTGCATTTACTCTGAGCTTTTTCTGGAGCTGTCCCTCAAGGATAAGGCTTCCACTATGTGTATCAAATTCCCAGAACCGGTTGTTATGGAGTCAACTCCAACTCATAGCCACCCCAGGTGTGTCACAGTAGAACTACGCTCCATAGGGTTGTAAATCACTGATTAATTGGAAGTAGATCTCTAGGCCTTTCTTCTGAGGTGTCTCCGTCTAGACTCAAACAGCCAACCTTTTAATTAGCAGCCAAGTGCTAATTGTGTCATCCAGAGATACCACGCTTACCAAATAGGTAATCATAAATCAGGGCCAGGCAGTGAGGTTAGTACCCTCTATAACCCCATAAACCCACTACTGTGAGTTGGATCTGACTAACAGCAACCCCTCCTTTGGTTTCCGAGGCAGTATCACTACGGAAGTAGATTGCCCAAACTTCCTTCCAAGAAGTGGCTCCAGGGTTTGAATCTCCAGCTTTCTGGTTAGCAGTCAAATGCCTTAGGCACTATGCCACCAGAGCTCCAAAGGAGATATTGGATGGTTTTAAATCAAGAAAGGTGTGCATCATGGTTGTATCCTTTTACCATATTTATTCAATCTGTATGCTGGGTAAATAATCTGAGAAGCTGGACTATATGAAGAAGAATGTGGCATCAGGATTGGAGGAAGACTCATTAACGACTTGCAATATACAGATGACACAACCTTGCTTGCTGAAAGTGAAGATGACTTGAAGCACTTACTGATGAAGATCAAAGACTACAGCCTTCAGTATGAATCACCTCAACATAAGGAAAACAAAAATCCTCACAAGTGGCATAAGCAATATCATGATAAATGGATAAAAGATGGAAGTTGTCAAGGATTTCATTTTAGATGGATCCATAATCAACACCCATGGAAGCCGCAGTCAAGAAATCAAATGACATATTGCACTGGACGAATCTGCTGCAAAGAACCTCTTTAAAGTGCTAAGAAGCAAAGATGTCACTTTGAAAATTAAGGTGCACCTGATCCAAGTCACAGTATTTTCAATTACATCATATGTATGTGAAAGCTGGACAATGAGTCAGGAAGACTTCAGAAGAATTGATGCATTTAAATTGTGGTGTTGGCAAAGAATACTGAAAATACCATGGCCTGCCAGAAGAATGAGGAAATTTATCTTGGAAGAAGTACAGCCAGAATGCCCCTTAGGGGTGAGAATAGCCAGACTTCAATTCATGTACTTTGGTCAGGTT